ATATGCTCCGCGCAGTTTCTTCCTTTTTCCTCCTCCGTTTCGCGCAGTGTACCTAACGCGTATCACTGACACGGTCGCGGCTGTGTGTGTGTGTGTGTGTGCGTCGTTGCGCAGCACGCAATGTGCGAGTCACCCCGTAAACGGAGGATCAGCAGCGCCATAACTTATGAAGCCAAAAATTATCCCAGCCTGTAGGCAGGAATCGCGACGATATTCCGCACGCGTCGAGATTTCTTCGCACGATTTCCCAGCAGCAGCAGCAGCAGTAGTTCGCGCAGAGTCCCCCCCGACGTGTACAACTATTATCGACTAAACGACGTTCTCGAAGAAATATGTGTATAAAGATTCTTCGAAAATTTCCCATCCTCGGCTAGGTGATACGTGCCGTTTGTGGAAATTGAAGAAAACAATTGTAAATTATACGAGAATGCACTTTTCGTTTTCCAGGAAATAGATAATTCGATTATTGAGAATTTTATATTCATTCGATTGCCTATACAATTTTTCAAGTTTGAAGTAGTTACGTATATCATCGTCAGGCCTACGACCCGCATACAAATGCTTTACTTGAGTATAATTATAAAACAAACTTATCCTGAAAAGTAAATAATGAAAATAACTAATTGTTTGATTTTATCTATTCAAATATGTTAAATACTTTTTTCAAAACTACAAAAAGACAATACAGACGATCATGGTCCTCAAAGCGGACACAAAAACGAAAACGTATAGAAGTCTGGTTTACACACTAAACAGCAGCAGCAGCAGCAGTTCAGGCTGATAATTTGAGGTCTCGGCTCGGGGATAGTAACAATGTGTACACGGAGCAAGTACAGAAATAAATGATTACCGAAGTTCCATTGAAGACGCGCAATCTCTCGTTCATCTGTGTGTTGGCGAGCGATCTTTCTGAGATGGACCAATATAGTAGTAGCACGGTGCGGTTCCGTTCGTTCGAGCTCGCCTCGCCTCGAATCTGTACTCGACATCTATCTTTTGACTCATTCGCGAGAGAGAGAGAGGAGCGTCTGACACGTCGCTTCCGCTGCTGCTGCTGCTTCTTATGCGGCTATAAGATCGATGCCTTTTGCTCTGGGAGCTCTCTGGCCGAGTGCGCGCGTCAGTGGCAGAGTAACCAAAGTTACGATCGATTTCTCATCCTCAACAAGAGAAAGAGAGAGAGAGAGAGAGAAAGACTTGTTCGCTGTATATTCTCTCTATCTCTCTCGCTTGCAAAGTGACTCCTCCTTCTCCAGGGCGATTCCCCTGGCTCCCTCTCTTTCTCCCACACACACACCCTCTCCTGTACTCCACTGCTTGACTGTCTGCCGCCTTCTATATATGTACACGGTCCTACCTTACGACGCAGCCGCCCGTGACTCCCACACATATTTCACAGAAGCTGCTTGGAGATGGAGACACTCGATCGAACTAACTACGACCCGACGATTCGTATTTTTCTTTTTCCCCAACTCAAATTGTTTAATGCACTTTAATCCGTGGCAATGATCGCTCCACATTATTGTTACATACTATAATATTGTCGATTTCCAGTTGGAAAAAAGGGGAGCTTTTATTTTTCTTTATTAAATAGTTTTTCCGAGGCGAGCTTATTTCATAATTCTTTGCGGCCGAATCACGCATCTCCTCAAAATAAAAGTGCACGCACAGTAGTGCTTCGCTGTTGTTTAGCTCATAAAAAAAAACGCGCCGCGTGTATTATACGTCCACGCGATAAGAGGCCGTCTACTCTGCGTGTACTCCGTATAATGCACGAATAACATCCAAGTGTGCGCGCAGATCGGAGCTGCTGCTGCTGCTGCCGCCGCTGCTGTTTACCTCCTGCAACATTGCAGGACGCGAGAGAAGAAAGACAAAAATATTTTTCGCGCGCGAAATTGGAATTTTTACGATTGCGCGCGCTATAAATTTCATGAAAAAGAGCATAGAGCACAGCAACGAGCGCTATACGCGCGCCTCGTGTACGTGAGGCGACTTTCTATACTGCGTTACACGCATACACGTACTTTTAAGAGTCGAGGTGGCCGTGCGCGCTTATATGGTTTGTGCGTATACACGTATATAAACATATATAAGAGCAGCAGCAACAACAGCAGCAACAAACAACAACACGCCCACGAGCGCAGTTAATTACGCGTATTATCTTTCGGATGAGCGCTTGGCTCTCTTGGGCTCGCGAAAGAGCTGCTGTTGCTCGCTGCTGTATATTGTGTACAATACGCGCTCGGACTCCGTTGTTCTATGGCCGAGACTCGAGCTTTAAAACGACGTCGTTAGGCGCGGGCACAGTTTTCAGATATTATTATATTATATCGCTCGGACACGAAAGAGAGAGATGCGAAAAAAAACAACGAATACACTCGTGTCGGAGAGAGAGAGAGAGAGAGAGAGAGAGAGAGAGAGACGAGTTGGCCTTTTTTCCACGAGCAGAGAGACTTGTACGTACGCGATTGTGCGTGTAGAACTCGCATAAAGCGAGAAACGCCGAGGCCAAGAAAGTAAATTCTTATCTAGGCATGGCTCCTACGTGTTTGACGAAGCTCATACTTCCAAGTGCTGCGACAGGTATACATGATATGGGCATACCACGAAGTTACCTGTGAGAGTTCGTTGCATTACGTGTACATAGGCAACGGTCCTGTTTGAACGTATATATAATACCGACTTGTGTCGCGGATCCTCGCATTCGATACATGTGACGGAACGGTCTGATGCGACGATCAACCTTATTTGCAGTCGATGGTCCGGCGCCGATTGCGAAAATAGTACAGTAACAGTATTATAGATCACGTTCGTATTTCATTGCAACTATCGAGCGTTTAGAAAGCTACGAAGAGGCGCAACGTGAATGAGACACGAAACATTTGGGGTAACGTAGGGGAGACCGGGGCATGCCGTGACACCCGGGTATGTGGAGAAATGGATTTTCCCAATATACAGATCAATTCTGTAACATTTAAGTTGACAAAAATGTTAAACATCAACCAGTGAATATTCCCCATGCATGAATTTTATTCAATTTGATCATTTATAAAGAAAAATATTAGTTTAAAATTTCACACGATTATACGCCACCGTCTGGATTTTTCGCATCGATTCTTGAATATCATAAATATAAATGAAACATATCTGAATAGTACTTAATTAAAGTGTAACTTTTCAACTTTCATTTTCGACCTTGCAAACCGTTCAATATTGAACTGGTTAAAAGTTATTAACAATCTTAAAAAAAATCCAAATGGGGCATGTGTGACAAGTCGAATGGGGCATGTGTGACGCATGAAGCATACGCTGCGGGAAACAGAGGAGCAGACCGACTGCGCACCTAACCTCTTAAGGAGGTTCGATAGTAAACTTCATGTCTTTAGAAACGCCTGAAACTTTTTTATTTCAATCTTTGATAAGAAATGAATGCACTGTTAAAATCTTAGATTGATCTACAATCTAGTTTTCGAGAAAAAAAAAATCAAAAACGACGTCTTATACATGGGTCTTATGGGGAAAGTTACAACAATGTCACAAAAAAAGCATTATGCAAACGAATTAGACTTAAGAAATGAAAAAAAACTATTTTTTAGAAAGCCAAGAAGGTATTGATCATTTTGAAAAAAAAACGACTCGTTTTACAACACCGAATGCTCAATAAACAAGTCTAAAAACGTGAGATTCTGAGCCACGCGAGCCGAAATGTCGCGTTTTTACACGTTCATCGCTGTATTTCAGCTAGTAAAAATAAAATGTACTCTATGGAAAATATGTATTTCGATGGGAAATTTCCTCAGCTTTCGATTGAGACTACTTTGAAAAATCTTAAAAATGCGTTTTTTGAGATATTTAATGTTAAAAGTTTATTTTTACAATTTTCCGTGGAAAATGGAAAATTTTTGAAAATCTGACTTCATCATCGGAAAGCTGAGGAAATTTCCAATCGAAATCATATGTCACATATTTTTTTGAAGTGCGTTTAGGGGGTTTTTCAGCGAGATAGAAGTTAAGCAGTTTCGCCTATAAGTGCCGTGCGGCCGCTGCATGCTGTTTTGCTTATAATATTTTGTTCCCATGAGTTGGTATCACTACTTCGTGCCCGTGTATAAGCATAGGCGACCCCCTCGCCCCGCCTGCCCCTTGAAAGTGCTATCGAATCTCCTTAAATGACTAGTATTTGCTATGGTCACGCATGCCCCATCTGTATTCCATACATGCCCCGCATGCGGGGCATGCGAGAGATTTCAGCGGACTGATTTTAAACGTCAATAAACAATTTTTGATTTGACAGAATAAAATTTTTAAGCCGGATTTTGAAAGTTTAGCTGCTCTACTTATCGACATTTTTTGTCCGATCCTGAAAAACATTAATGAGGCGGATATTTAAGTTGATGAAAAATTTATTGTCGCACATGCCCCGGTCTCCCCTACAGCACCAACATTAATTGGTCAGGATATGTACACCTCGTGCTTCACGCTTACATGTATATGAAACAAGAATGTTGTCGTCGGTAAAGTCGATTTTGAACTAACCAATTGAGCTCTTAAAATTTAAGTTGATGAAAAATTTATTGTCGCACATGCCCCGGTCTCCCCTACAGCACCAACATTAATTGGTCAGGATATGTACACCTCGTGCTTCACGCTTACATGTATATGAAACAAGAATGTTGTCGTCGGTAAAGTCGATTTTGAACTAACCAATTGAGCTCTTAAAATATTCGTTAATAATTTACATGAATAAATATTGGACTGTAAATCATAAATTTGGCATAATAATTCATAAATATATAAATTAACAAGCATCATCTCCTGTAGTATTTTTTTTATTGCATTTATTAGAATAAAATTTTTATTGATATGAATTTAAATTTCCTAGCATCAAGTTTCAGAACAACGTCGTACGCGTCGCTAGTGTCTACGTACTCTTCTGAACACGCCGATAAAATCCGTTTAACTTTCAGTTTTATGCGGCTTGTTCACGCGTAAACACCACGAGGCACACAAACTAACTAAAACTTACGCTTTTGTGAAAACAAGTTAACCTCAACATTTTTTTTAGTTTGTAACTTGGGTGCACATAACTTAAAACAATATGGAAGGCTATTACAATTCATTCAGGTATAGTATTTTTTTAATGTTTTAGTTGCCATAATTATTTTAGAACGATTCATTATTAAATTTGATCATTCTTTAGGGTTAAAAAGGAACCAAGCGTTGCCTCGCTCAACACGTGTAATGATCATATTGACGCGTTATTGGAGTCTCACAAAGAAATAAAAGTTGAAAAGATCACTCATTACGAATCATCTGTGAGTTCAATAATTTTTAATTATGTTGTATTTATCTGTTATTACAAACTAACCTAAAATTTTCATTTTAGACAAACCACGTATGTAAAAAAGAAGATGACACAACTAAAAGTTTATTCATCGAGTTTGAGTGCAAAGATGTTAAATTAGAATGTCAACCTTTACCTGACTATTTAAATCAACAAAAGCCAATAATTATGACAAAAAAAGGGTTTAATTACGATAAAAGTTGTCATTTTGAAGTGAGCTCGTTGGCGAAGCATTTTGAAACAGAAGTACTTGAAGCGAATGCAATACTTGAGGACTTATCAATTGACTTCGAGTGCAAAGATGTTAAATTAGAATGTCAACCTTTACCTGACTATTTAAATCAACAAAAGCCAATAATTATGACAAAAAAAGGGTTTAATTACGATAAAAGTTGTCATTTTGAAGTGAGCTCGTTGGCGAAGCATTTTGAAACAGAAGTACTTGAAGCAAATGCAATACTTGAGGACTTATCAATTGACTTCGAGTGCAAAGATGTTAAATTTGAATGTCAACCTTTACCTGACTATTTAAATCAACAAAAGCCAATAATTTTGATTAAAAAGGGGTTTAATTACGATAAAAAATGTCATTTTGAAGTGAGCTCCTTGTCAAAAAATTTTGAAACAGTGGTAGTAGACGCAAAACCAAAGAAGTCAAAAAGTTTAAAAAAAAGATGCAAGTCATTAACAAAAAACTTGCGAATTTCTCAAAAAACTTCATTTTACAAAAGTGACCTTGGGGATTGTTTGAAAGTGGTACATGATAATTTGAAGCCCTATGAATGTCATATTTGTAAAAAATCATTCAAGACAAAGAGTCACCGAAAAAGTCACATAGGTATAGTACATGATCGAAACAAACCCCTTGACTGTGATAGATGCAAAAAATCATTTGCTTACAAGAAAGATCGGATTAAGCACATAAGCGTTGTACATGATTGTAAAAGGCCTTTTGAATGTGAGATTTGTCATAAATCATTTGGAGACAAGGGTAACCTTAAAAAACACACCAATTCAGTACATAATCTAAGCAGACCCTTTAAATGTGAAACATGTCATAAATCTTTCAGTCGAATGCATCATCTAAAATGTCATATTGAAACCGTACATGATTGCAAAAAACCTTTCGAGTGTCATATTTGTCACAAATCCTATGGTCGCAAAGATGTTCTCAAGTCTCACATAAAGACAGTTCATAAACATATTAAATCGTTCAAGTGCAACATTTGTGACAAATCATTTGCATATCAAAATGACCGTAGAAGACATATACTGGCAATTCATGATCTTAAGAAACCGTTTGAATGCGATATCTGTCTTAAATCATTTGCTCAAAAAGCACACATAAAAGTTCACATAGAATCAGTACATAATCGCATTACACCATTTAACTGTGATGATTGTGAAAGATCTTTTAGCCTCAAACAACAGCTAAAAACTCATGTACGTACAGTACATGAATGTATCAAACCCTTTGAGTGTGACATTTGCCACAAATTATTTGGAAAAAAAAGTAACCTTAAATCTCACATAAGTATAGTACATAATCTTATTAAACCTTTTGAATGCCAGGTTTGTCACAAAGTATTTGGCTACAAAAACGATCTGAACAAGCATGTACAAGCTGTACACAACAGAAGCAAACCATTTAAATGCGAAATTTGTCAAAGATTATTTAGCCGCAGAGATCACCTGAGATCTCACATGAATTTAATTCACAACTGTAAGAAATCCTCAAAACAATTTTTGAGTAGGACAAAACGATCAACTCGAATCTCTCAGAAATAAAATTGTAACTCGAATGTAAAATGGCCTGAGTTAACTAAAACTCACTCAGGTTCATTTAATGATTTTATAAAACATTTTGTTAAATAAGCATATTTATGTACTTGATCAATAAGTTCTGTTATAAATTACACGTATTCTTAAAACAATTTGAAACGCCTTTATTTATTCACCTATTACGGGCGAGCATTCACCAAAAATAATACAATTCATTATTCATAACCTTTATCACCATTAATCACTATAGTTTCTAAGATCTTTACTAAAAAGCAAACGATTATTCGTTTCTCTCTCTCTCATCGTCGAACTGTAAACTTGTGTTCTTTACAAATGCATCATACATATTCAGCAAACGAGTATTCGTTTTTCACTATACTTATCAGAGAATCGGCATGCACATCAAGATATTTTCTCAAACAGTTAGATTCTCAAAAATGAACGCAAGAACTGCCTACGCTCATCACAGTTCAAGATTGATTTTTATTGCTCTTTTCTAAAAGATTATTTCCAACTTTCAAAAAGAAACAAACACTTGTCTGCACATATACTAACATACGCACGCGCACAAATGTAACAGGTTATATGTAAAACGTCCACTTGCACTCTGCACGTTTAGTCGAGGCACTCTAGGCACACGCATTGTACTTGTATTTACCTGTACCAATTTAACACGAACACGGCAGTCGATTTGCCAGGCAAACTTCTAAATCCATTCGTCAAAACTAGACATGTACAGATAAAAACACACCGAGTTCGAAATATGTACTGCTCCAACGGACAGTGCAGTAAGTACTTTTCACAGTTGTCACTATATGGTCCCTTTGCTGATTCGACTGCAAAACCGACTGGAAAACAAAAAAGGTGACTGGTGGCCTTGGTTTTTTTTGTAGGCTAACAACTTCTTAGATGCCACAATGAGCACATCAAAAAATTGATTCAAAGTTACAATGGTCTAGATAGTCACTTGTGTATACTCATCCGGATTGCCACAAGACTAAAATCATAATATCATGCATTTCACGAACCAAGCAAACCATTCTGCTTGATGCGGTATACTTTCTTTTTCATTGTGTATAACAGTCGCCCTCGAGCGGCAAGTTCACGAAAAAATGTTTTAAAGTATAAGCAAAAATCTTTCAACAACATTGAAAGAAAACATTGAAGAAGCTAAAGTCAACCAGAATGAAATACTCAGAGTTTCACTTCCGATGGTTCTTCCATCTATCTGTTACTGGTTATAGTAATAACTCTGCGCCCTGCAAAAATGATTCGTTGTCGTAATAACGTTTTGACACAAAGTATAGACATCGAAACTCTTTCTTTGTGCACGAAACTTGTGCTCGTCCCGCACGCAAGCGAATTGAAGTGGAATTGGTCGAAGCGGAGCTGCTCGCCAACAGTTTGATTTCACGCGCGAATCGAATCGATCGCCGAAGAGAATCAATTTTTCCTCTTCCTCGGCAGCTATATTAGGCGCATTCGTCGACTTACAAACGCATGTATCGTCGTATATATACCGCGAGTGATTAATTCGAGGTTGTAAGCGAAAGACAAATACGTTTCAATTAGTCATCTCGAAAGGCGCCCAGCCGGGCGCCTAGCTGCGTATATATACGATACAAAATATAAGAAGATCCCGATTCTCATGATATGACGAATGATGATCGGAAACCCGAGAATATGATCTTTTTAGCTCGACCATCGTCGTCGTAACTATACACAATAGCTGTTACACGACCGCAAAATTGCGCGAAAAGTTTATAATGTACGAAGACTCGTTCTATTTTTCTCCACTGATCTACAAGCGATTGAGACTTCTTTACATCGATGAACAGCTATTGATATATACAATATTATACTCGTCTATGTACAACTAATACAAATTGATTAATGGATGCGCGCGCGTATAATGGACCATCGAGAGTTGTTTTAATAGCGATTTGTTTCGTTTCTGCCGTGTGTATATAATAGCTTTGTATCCCATTGTTTTGTACATTTAAACGCGCGGGTGAAGGGCTCGCAAAAGCCACTTGAATGGGTCATTTGATCGACGTCCGCTTCTATACGTATATCTATAACAATGAACCGCTAATTATTTATTATTAGCTCGCGCGCGTCTATTGAGAAATCGTATGTATACATAAATCGAAAGACGTTTACTTGCGTACGTAATCGATCGAGCCATATGTTGTTGAGCACGCGAGAGAGAATCCGTTGGAAAATCCATCGAGCCATCTAGCGCTTTGTAAAACGATAAAAAGATGCTGCGAGATTCCTGAGCGAACTCGACTTTTCCGGCGACGCGTGTGTGCACAGCAGGTATGTGCATATTATATATACGTGCAAGACAGGTAGCCTCGAATAATCATATTGTTCGCTGGCGATCGCGAGAATTAATACATACCCCGATCCACACGAGTCTATATAAGAGTAACATTATATCCCGACGCGAGGATTATCTTATGTGTATGCACATATAGTCGGTACGTATAGCGAACAAATCGTCGTCCCGCGCGGCTTTTGTGCATATATATACGCGATCCTCGATGTCTCTATATAAATAATCAATTACGATTCCAAGCGGCTCTCTGCGGGATGCAGAGCTCGTTCATTGATCTTATGTATTAGCTTTGGAACTCGCGACCGATGTTTCTTCCGTTTTTATTTTTAACATTTTTTGTCTTTTTAACGTTGCTTTTCAATTTCTCAGTTTATAAATTATAATATTGCTGCTGCTGGCTGTGTAGCCAATATTATCACTCGCTCGCTCGATGAAAAACCAAACACTTTTTCGAGCTTACTTTAATGTTTTTTTTATTTTTCACGAATTTAATGACTTATTTTATTCGAGTCAGTCGAGGGAGTGATTTATACAGTCGAGCCTTATATTACTTGCTATATTATCCCACAGTCAACGAGCGCATTCGTATCCATTATATTCTCAGCTCTCTCTCCCTCTCTATTCTTCCGCTAAATGGAAAATGATGAACTGCTCTTGTTGCACACACAACTCAATGGACAAAAAAAAATAAGAGCGTACGCGTTGAAAGAAGAAGTGCGGCGCGGAACGAGTTGGTCAATAAAATTGTTTAGCGACACTTTTAAAATCGTGTACGTTTATATGCGTATACCCTTAAGCCGTTTCCAGGTAATCAAATACTCGTCGCGCGATAAATAGGCGGAGACGAGCGCAAGTATAAGAATTTTATGAACCATCGACTCGAGCCTTGCACGTAGACTGTTTTTTTTCTTCACAAAACTATCGCGTTTCCCATGGCTCTATGTACCTATGTACCTAGACTCGAGGCACTTGCACGAGTTCACGAGCCTCTCTTATATTTATACATTATTTTGTATTATATCGAGGAGGCAAAAGGGATGCCTTTGTGCGCCTTTGATTCGCGCCGCTTCGATTCACGCGCGCGTTACCTTTCTTGGGCCTTTTCGAGGGTGTGGATCGCTGCTGCTCGCCGCGGTCGAGATATTGCGCTATTAAAGTATCGTTACCACGCGCAGGTCGTTTTTTTTTTCTATTTTTTTCTATTTTGAACAGTTCTCATCGTCATTTTTTTCGAGGTCCCATTGTGGCGACGGACAGATACTTTTTTTTAAGTAGCGCCGAAGTGGAATTGAATTTTATTTCTCGTTGTAAATCAGCTCAACTCCAGAGACTTGACTTGTAATATACGAGATACCTACAATGTAATAATGCCCGGGACACCAAAAAGACAATCGCGGGCAAAGGCCTCTATCGTATACCGATGACTGTCAACGTTGATCAATGAGCGCCCGGTGCACAAGTCGTATATGCA